CACGTAATGAAATAATAAATTTAATTTTCGAATAAAAAAATTTACTAAATATATAAGTTTTTATTTTTATGTAATTTTCAATGTCAAATATACTTAGTTAGTTTTAATAATAACTATTATATAATAAGCAAAAATATCTGTAATTATTCTTTGATTAGTATAAAATGTAACGATTTTTGTCATAATTGCCCTAAAAAAAGAGTGGAAACCAAAAATTTTTTACATCAAATTATTTATCCCTCTTTATGAATATACAAGATTTTTTTTTTTAAATCAAATTATTTGTCCCTCTTTATGAATAAAGAAATTTTTTTTTGCATCAAATTATTTGTCCTTCTTTTATGAATAAAGACAAAAATATAGGATTGTAGTTGTCTTTTTGGGGGAGAAATTATTGAGGTTTTATTAATTGTAATTCTAGCAAATATATATATATATATAGATACTAAAAAATAAGCTCTAGATTTTATATTTCTGTAAGCATACATATATGAATTTAACCATGGTTAGACTTAGAGCAACATGATATCCTTCTATGTAAATAGTATTCAAAGTTTAATGGCAAAATAAAGAAGCCACCTAATCCTGTTAGTTAAAAAGGGTAAAGTGGACGCTTATTAGGGTGGAGAAAATTTGACCTAATTTTGTTTTGGGTGAAGCTTATAATGGTATTTGGTGTTGGTGACCCGAAACATGGAGTTGGTATTAGAACTAGGAGAAGAGGGTGCGTAACGCACTATACGAGGGTTAGCTTAGGTGCACTTTACTGAAGTTCCATCACTTGGGCCCAAGCGTAGAGTAAGATTGGGTACAGAAAGTCTTAATAGAACCCATGGAAAGAAGTTGCGAACCCACCAGGTGAAGCGCATCATAACAGGGTGAGCCTAGTTGCACCTTAATGAGATTTTATCCCAAAACCAATCGGTTATAGAAGGATTAGCCAACTAGCTAGACTCATTTTTCGTATATAATTAATATGAGATAACTCACGAGTGATATCTGAATGGTTGGAGGTCATTTTGGTCAAGCTAATAAATAATTAAGGCCGCGGATAGGAAAGCAAAAAGTGGTGAGTGACACATTGATTCAATCTCCCTCGTCTCGTCTCGTGACCATACGCCTTTCAAACATTGTTTTCTCTTTTTCCGGTTTATCTCCTTTTGTGTCTGATGAAAAAATTCACATTAAAAGGGAAAAATCAAGGAGTCTTGTTTTTTTGGTACAGGAACTTTCCGGTTTCTGAATCCACAGGAGAACCGACTAATCCGGAATCGAGCCGGGTAGGATCACAAGGACGGCAAAGCTCTCCCTCAAGAGTTTTAACGCTGCTGCATTCCCAGGACTCGAACACGAGACCACTGGTTAAGCTGGAAGAGACCCAAGTTATCTCATCCAATCGCTCTTAGTGATTGATGCCTGGTACCAGTAAATGACGGAAATGCCACCGGAGTGGACTCCGGTTTAAAAAA